AACCCAGCAATAGTAACCATCAGCTGCAGGCTTAGAGACGGGTCAAACGTGCTTAAGGAAATCAGTAGGAAACTATACAGTAGCAATGTACATTTTACATATTTTTGAAATGCATAAATAGACATCATCTTTACTTCGATGTGTTATATAAGAAATTATCACAATGATGTTACTTCGCTCCTTTCCATTTCTAGCTCAAAATAATGTATGTGGCTTCCAGGGCTTAAAAAAAAAATCAACAAGCCCTAATGGCCATTAAACATGCAGGCTTTCTCTTTCTTCTCCCACCCTAAAAGAGAGGGCTCTATCCATCTCCCTACTCCACCATGCTTCACTAAAAGCATCTGCAGCATGGGTAATTTAGTGTTGATGAAAACCCGATCTGTTTCTGATGGGAAGCTGTGGCGCTGAAATCCTGACTAAAGGTCATTTTAAAGGGGAAGCACGAAAGTCTGAGAGTGTGTTTGTATGGGGACGTGTGTCACAGCGACTGTTTTAGTCTCTCAGGAGCACATAAATAGCAATTGCTTATAGTAAAACTAATGTCATAGACAAGCTGACATCAGCCATTTCTGTTTTGTAAATATTTTGTTCTGCAGTTTAGCTTATTGTAACATGAACAGTGACTGCAATTCATTCAACTGATATTGCCAAAGCAATTTATTGAGACTTGATAAACAAATGCTGCTGTATTTACCAAGTAAACAGCAGTAGCTAATACGGTGGGGCCATTGATTATTCTCAGGAGAAAAGTGATCACAGAGATAAAGTGTTCAGAAAGCATGTCGCACTGAGAAACAAGAGTATGTCATGTGCTATGGAGACCATCACTCAATCGACACCTCGCTCTGGTTGTTTCTAGGGGGTTAACACATCTTGACAACTGCTGGGAACAGGGAGTACTCCGTTTTCTCATAAGACCTGTAACGGCTGAAGCTACACAGTATGTTCATCTGACCGCAGTATCGCAGCAACTGGGCTGATAGCTTGTTTTAGTGACAAGCTAATGGGGAAATTAAACAGAGTACTTCAAATACATCATGGCCCACATGATCATGTTAATTGGTGGGCAGAAAAATCTATATTGTAAAAGCGCAAGTCTTCAAGTAATGGAAGAGTAAAATAATTTTCTACCACGTGAGATTTTGCACAGAAAACTTTTGCACCCAAAACACATGATCTACTTTAACTGGCGAAACTGCTCAATTATTAAAGGAATTGTTCACCCAAAAATTTGCTGAAAATGTACTCACCCTCAGGCCATTCAAGATGTAGATGAGAGCGTTTCTTCATCGGAATGGATTTGGAGAAATTTAGCATTACATCCAGGGTGCGAACTACGGGGGAGCTAGGGGGAGCTCGTCTCCCCTTAATAAGACATGGGCTCCCCTGAAAACGTGATTTGTGAATCACCGCCCCCCCCCCGTTATATAAAAAAAACAAAAAACAAGTGGGCTTCCCCAAAGACCATGGTATAGTTCGAACACTGATTACATCACTTGCTCACCAGTGGATCCTCTGCAGTGAATGGGTGCCGTCAGAATGAGAGTCCAACAGCTGATAGAAACATCATAATAATACTCTAGTAATCCACATAAACCCAGTCCAACAATTAACATCTTGTGAAGTGAAAAGCTGCATGTAATAAACAGGTCATGCACAGACCAAGCACATTTTATAAGCCAAAACAGTTATAAACAAATATGTTGCTGGATTTTGATGTGAGTGGACAATTTTTCATTTGATGAAGTGTTATTATGGATTATGGACTGGTATTTTGGCCAGAAGCAACAGTTTAGAGTTATAACATCTTGATGGATTTGTTTCTTATAAATCCTGAGCTTTTCAAGTCATAAGAAGTTAATTGGACTTGTGGATTATCGTGATGTTTTTATCAACTGTTTGAACTTCCATTCTGACGGTACCCATTCACTGCAGAGGATCGATTGGTGAGCAAGTGGATGTAATGATGAATTTCTCCAAATCTGTTCAGATGAAGAAACAAACTCATCTACAAATTTCGTTTTGGGGTGAACTATTCCTTTATTATAGAATCTCTTAAAAGCTCACGTGGAGCTGTATTCATGCATACATCTCCAGCCATTATAGTGCTGTCTTATGGGATTACATCTCTGCCACAATTCTGCACGCGAAAGATCATATTTTGAGCGCGCAAAAGTGCGTTTTGCACACGCGTGATCTGAGTTTTGTGGAGAAAATGTTTGTCTCGCAAAGAAGAAAGTATTTCGAGTGCACGAAAATCAATTTTGCATTTAAATTAAGTTTTTGGATTTGTGCAGACCTCTTTTGCACGTGCAACGTTTCACTAGCTTGCTCACCTGATGCCGGCCCTCAGTGCTCTCTAAATGCCAACGGCTCCCTTGTTCAACACAACCCAGTGTTACAATATGCCATAATTCCAGCCAATCAGAGACGAGGCTGCTAAATTCTGATTGGCTGCCTTGACAACCAATAACAACATTCCTGGACAGCAGAAGAGGAAAAATACAGTGCATGCATAATTATTATGCAAGTTGATATTCTGATCATATTTTTTTCCAAGCACATTTTACTAATTCCAAATGACATCAATCTTAATAATACTATTAGTCTTGTATTTAATCATTTATAATTGATATATAATTATTCATGAAGGCTGGAAGTGAAAAATGTCTTATATTCAGGGGTGCATAATTATTAAGCAGATTTTCTTTTACAGATAAAATGAGCCAAAAAAAAAGAGATTTAACTCAGACTGAAAGTCAAAAATTATTAAATGCCCATGAGAAATATTTAAAACTAATA